TGAATTCACAATACGTTTTACAACACGTTTTCCTACGCGTCCCTACCCTACCACGGCCCGTCATGGCCCAGCTGCTCTACACTCCCAACACAAAGAACTGAGCCACCGAATTATCGATCAACGTCACGCAGGAAGCGTTGTGCCGGCGCGTCACCCGCGGCTCGAGTCTAGAAACGCCGAGAGCGTTGCTTCGGGTGTGTAATCAGCGTGACTGGTTCAATCTGTCCTGCCTTGGTCTTGTCTTGGAAGTGCGGCCGTTGGAATCCTCCGTGATAGCGACGGTTTTCTATATTTAGGGTGTTCGACGAGGGTTTTTGATCCGGTTGGCCGGGTTTTCCCTCGAGCCTGTTGTTGTTTTGAGTCCCTTTGGTANTGAACAGATGCAGCATTTGCCTTGCCAAGACTTTGAAATGCGAGCAATCTCACCAACTCATGGTTCAACTGCTGTTTGGTCTCCGGAGCATGATCGGGCTTCGACATGGGGGAACAACACAACCATCTCGGTATAGGTCTGGCGTCATTGCCTGCCAAAGATTAGTTGACACGAACCCCAGCCATGAAAATTCCCTCTCTCTGTGAATATATGGTCCACATAGTGCGTGTGCGGACGGCGGTACGCACGTGAGTACGATTTTCTGTTTTATGCGCGTGTGTATGCGGAAGCCTGTGTATACACAAAACGTCTAGTTAAAGACTCGCCATGCGAAACCGTGACTCTGTGGGGCTGTATTGTGGCCTCAACCGCGGATTTCGCGGTCATAACCGTGGAAAATGATAGGGAGTGGCGCAAACCACTCCGTACAAATAACACTTTACTGATTGTTGAAAAACCTCACGGAGCGGAGCGGGGTCGTCTATCTGAGGGAAAAAACTCACGGGAGGGAGCGACTTTTTGCTCATATAACGGAGCGATTCAAACGTTCACACCGCTCCGCCCCGCCGAACAAAACGCTCCGTGAACAATCCAGTACACACCTTTCCCCGGAACTCCAGCAAAACGCGAAGGTCAGGACATTTACAAGTATTTTGTGTTTTCAACCGCACTAAGAATGGCGTCTTTCCATTGGTCAGTCGGTTAGCGCGGTCGATGCAAATGATAAAGACACGCGCAAACAAGTGTAAACCAACACGCACACAATAGATAACAATATTCTACGCCATTCGTGTTCTATTCAACACTTGGCTCATGCACGAGATAGCCGGTCCTGGTACGTCGACTTGCGCTATTGGTCCAGAAGTTCCATAAAAAAGGCATCGTAACTTTTATCAGGTTTTCATACGACTTGGCCGGCTTCTTCCTGCCCGGCCACGTAGTCCCAGATCTCGGCCTCGTGCTTGGCCTTTCCGCTGAGCTTGGTCGGGGGCTTCGGCCCGGCGTCCACCACCGAGACGCAGTACGCCACCCTCCGGCCGCCCCCGGTCTGAAACACGCCTGCCACGTCCTTGCCTTGCACTGCCGACGGCTGGCCCTCGTCGCCGGAACCACCCTCGGGCGCAGCGGGAATAGACTTGAGTGAAATCATCACGCTGCAGTCCATAACGCCGAGGGCGATGATGTACCTAACGACGCATGGAGGGAGATGAGAAATCATTCGCCCAAAAAATAAGCGGGCTCCTTTTGGTGCCCATACAGCTGCACCACAAGGCAGCTCGTCATATTCCGTGCAACGCAAAGAATCTGACCGTCAAAGAGCCGCGAGAGGAGAAACGAGTTGAGGTAGTATGTGGTGAAGACTCAACGTCTAGCAAGCCCTAGTTGAAGGGGGAACTACGTTGGGCGTCGCCGGTAGTGGAACCGCTGAAACTACTCGATCTCATGTGGATGCACGCGGGTGACGGCAAACGTGCTTCCTTTGCTTTCACAGTATCGTTTGTGAAACTCAAGAGAAACAATGAAACAATGGACAAAAACAAACTCCTGAAACTCGGGTCGAAATAGAAAACAAAACACACAGCCAAACAACCAACGGCACGTGATTCTGGGCACCTCGCTGTTGCAAGGCGAAACCCAAACAACCAACGACGGCATACCGCACGTCAAGGGCCCTGCACCCAGAAAAGAGCATTTTCGGTCTAATGATCATGGACTGTGGACATCCCTCTCTCCTCCAAAACACGCAGAACATAACCCACCTTCTCAGCAGCTGCACGCAGTCTTTGACGCCCAGCTTCTCTACGGCAAGCAGCCCCTTGGCGTGAAGGGTGTCAATGCTGCTCGCTTCCCCGGCTACCAAGGGCGAACCCGCCCTCAGCGCTTCGAGGGTAGCCACGGGCACGATCAAGTCCTTGTCTGTCGGCTCAGCCACGAAAGGATCCGACTCCTGAGCCTCGAGCATATTGAGAGCCTCTTCCCTGCAGATCGGGCCCCGACGAGGGTGGAAAGGCTCAATCTTTGCACCCTTGGCATGACACACATATGTGACAACTATTCTAGAGAGGTGCCGGTTTCCACGTTGTGGTAAAAAAAGAACGGTGACAATTGTACTCTCAACCAACGGTCGCGCGGGTTTCTGCTCAAACACCGGCTCACACATGCCTGAAAAACAGATTTCCGAAAGAGAGGCAGAACCGCTACAATCATCCGAACAAAGCACATGACTGTCTCGGACGCACGACTGTCAAAAAAGACCCAATGTCAGAACTGACACGCACCGACATTCACAACAACTCGCGTTTGCGAACATCCTATCCTCCCGCAAGAGGTGCGCGACATCGGGAAAGACAAGCGGCGACTTCGACGACAACATCTCGCTCTCGACGACACAGGACGCAATTCTCACTTTGAGCCTCCGCACAGCGAGACAAGCTTGTCGAAGACGAGACCCCCACCCTCGATCCCGAGCACGTCCAACGCCTGAGCTGCCACGAGCCTCGAAACCAGCGGCTCCTTTGCCAGGATCTCGCCCACCAAGTCCATCAGAGCTTGCGCGGGTGTCCTGCGACCCATCGCCACGGAAACGGGAAACCCACAGAAACTTGAAGCGCTTGTGGCCGTCACGAATGAACAGAAACAAACCTAGCAACCAGAGTGGACGTGCCGCCACCAACGACGGGAGAATAAGTAAAGGGAGAAAAAAAGCCGAAGTGAAAACAATGTACCCGCACGAAAACTTTGGTTACCTCCACCGCACCAGCTGTAACAGCAGGGCACATCGGTTTAGGGCAGCAAACCTCTCACCCGTCTCCGCCAGCGAGCCCCGCAGCCACTACCGCCTTGCCTAGCGCCACCTCGCCGGCAGTCTCGCCGCTTTCCGTCATGTCTTCATCGCCCTTGCCGGAACCGGCCCCGAACAGCATGTTTCCGTTTTCCCACGCCCTCAGCTTGTTCTGTGGCGTTTTCATGAGCTCCTTGAGGGTTGCTGCAGCCCGACCCGCATCTCCCGAGTACAACTCTCGGGGATGGTACAGGCATGGCCTGTCGATGGACCCCCAGGACTGCTCTCCCTGTGCAAAGTTAGTCGCATCAAGGAAATATAGTAGGGGAGCGTCAAAAATGCCGGCTGATTAGCGCCGGTGGCCACGTATAGCGCCGGTGAGATTGCTGGGAACAGACTGACGCATCATTCTGCACATCGAATGGCATCGGTCCCTCTGGAAAGCGCCGGTCGATGCGCCGGGCACATACTGGCGTACATGAGGGCCCTCTACTGAAGGCATATGTTTCGCAATGACCGTGCCAGGCTAGGGTGCGCGTTGAAGAACCGGCTCAGTGATGTTTACCGAGCACTGTCGATAGCTCTCCCAGTCCCCTGACGGTGTTTGAAACTTATGGACACAATTGTTCTCGCTCAAGGTTGGAGAAGTCCATCTACCAGCGAACATGGCAAAATCTTTACACGTCCAGTCCCATCTGTCTCTCTTCTTGGGGGGAGGGAGGGGGCAGGGATCCTCACGTTGGCCACGCCTCCGTGCCTTCTAGGTACCATGGCATTGGATTCTCCGAAATTCCTCGACGCATCCTTCTTTGCTCAATATATCAGTTTCGGCAGAGGGCCGAAACCAGTGTGAATACGGAGTAGGTATCGTGAATACGGAGTAGGTATCGTAGGGCATCAATTTAGATCTTTGCGGAGAATATACCGGAGAACCACGCCATCACCCCGGAATGGATTCTTCATCACAATAGTAACACGTTGACTGGCCGATGAAGGTGAGAGCTTTCGGGGCGCGCGGACAACCCAACAGGATCAGTCGTGGCGGCGTCGGATCGGAAAATCTATCGGCTTTTTCTGGGTGCAACTTTCAGACCACCCATAGGCGGCGTGAGGAGTTGGGAACGAAGGAGAGGCCAATCTCTGTGCCAAATAACCTCCATGATGCAAGTCTCCCGCAAAGTCGACCTGTTGCCTGCGTCTGAAACAACACCTGAGGCAAGTGGCTCAGCGCTAGCACGAGTCGCTCAGCGCTAGCAGGAGTCTAGAGTCGAAGGCACATGGCACTCCCTGGTCCCCCATGAAGGACACACCGTTGTGACTGCGTCGGAGTCAAATCTCTGAACAACAGAAGGTGCCGACCGCAACAAGTTACCTGCGCCTTGAACATCTGCTGGGCGTCGAACCTCGCGACCCGGTACTTGAGACGGTTGTTTCCGGGTGGCACCAGGGTTCCTACCGGCATGGTCGCCCCCTTGGGCTTAATCTCCACCGCGATGACGATGCCCTTCTTGTTGCGATCCTCAGTTGGGGATGCTGGACCTGCGGTTGAGGGTGCAGAGGGAAGCTTGAGCCAGAAGGCCGTCTTGTCCGGCTCCAGTTGACAGGCCGAAGACCAGTCTCCGTTGTCCTTCTTGATGCGCCCCTCCGGACGAAGGTGGTCAATGCTTTTTTCGTTTGTCCCAACGCGCGGAAGCCAAGTAATGGTGAGCGATTTTGCAAGCAGATTCAGGATGGTGCTGTCCGATCATGAAACAATAAAATTATTTGCTGGTTTGCAGGCCTGAGCGGCAGCGCACTATCCAGGGAGATGCGGTCGATGACATGGATGCCTGCACGGTATTTCTACTGGAGGAGGCCCGAGATATTACGATGATTCGAGACAAGAGCGGTCAGCAGCTACGACGAAGCCTAAATAACCCTCCTTGTCGACCGATACAGGATGTATACAGCACCGACTTATGGTCTGTTGGCTTCGAGGAGGAATTAAAATAGGGTTCTCTTTGTCGCACCGGTTTGGTCGTGCTCCGAAAACAGATGGCCGAGCTATACACGCATTTTGTGCCAAAAAATCTGATGGAGGAGATACCTCACCCAAACCCCTGGAGCGTAGAGGTTAAAGGGCAACACCAAGCGGAGATCCCACGTACGAAATGAAGCCAAGAGAAACAGAGATAGAACTCAGCTACCAACGCAACACGGCTGGGACGTACCATGTCTATCCCCCACAGATTCAAGGCCAGCTATCAAAAACAGCAGGGGCCGGGTCAATACGACCTGCGCGTCGTGGGAATAGCCATCCCGTTGGTTGCTTATTGTTCCACAGGTTCAACCGTCAGAGTGATGACACGACACACACATCAAAACACGTTCCCAAGCCGAGAGCATACCCACCATCAAGAGAAACCTTCGAGGGTGTGCGGGTTTACTGCTGTGCGTTCTCAGGATGGTTGCCCGGGACCGGTTCAGGTTGCTTACGCCGTGCTACCGACTGTCCCCGAAGACAAATGTTAATTGAGGCAAGGCCTTCTGCCTATTGATGTTGCTGCTGTTGAGTCGCTTCGTGCACTCCATGTAGTCCTTGAGAGAAATAATGCATTTTGCTTGCGCTCACTTCGCGGGAATATCGGCATGCTTGAGGAGGGTGTGGCGGAAAGTTGTAAGCCTGCCGCATCTGTCAGTTACGGTGCGATGTCTACACTGCTGCTGGTGCCCTGCGGAAAAGTGATATGCTCGCCGCTGGGTATACGCAGCACCGTGCCTCTTCCCGATTTGCGTATTTGCGTCCGCGCACGGCCGTAATACTTCATATTTTGTTCTTGAGTTCGTGACATCAACGAAGAGCAATTTCCGCAAGCAATTGTGCAAAGGGGGCGCACACACAAGCATCTGTTGCTGCCTTGAACATACCGTGTGGGCGTTGTGTGGGCTGGGCTCCTCCCTCCTCGCTCGCTGGTGTAGACTGCTATTTTCAACGGCGTTTTTCATCGCACAACATCGCAGGTAGACTACTGCAAGGTATTTCAGTTGATACCCCGCTCATTGCCCCGCCCCATATAGGAGTAATTCGTTGCATGGCCGCCTGATTCCTGATGCCTAATGTTACAGACTACTACCTGACGAACAGAACGACCCTGCACGGGCCTACAAGCCATCCCAAGTGAAACACGCAGATTCAGACACAAGTTATGCGTGACCTCACTGAAGGAATGGAGCAACTGCGGTGTGAGTCGGAAAGTACATCTACTTGATATTAATAGCATATCTTGTACTTACACAAGCAGTAATATGTGTACACTGCTGTGCTGTAGCACAGGCCACGTGAAACACGGCTTGCATACCAGGCTGTAGAAAGCGAAGGGCTGGCCATATTCTACCATCGTCCGCAATTAAATAGCGCCTTGGAAACATGTGTGCATACAGGGCACTCTACAAAATCTAACACGTTCAAACCAAGGACATGTTTTCGCCCATGCCATCGTCCTTAGCTGCGAAAGGCCAGAGCGCAAGAGCGCACAACCCTCAAACAAGCTAAACAGCAGTTACCTGAGGTGGATCTTCCCGATGTCCTCCCGAGAGAGCGTTACCGCATCCCCTGGCTGAACGTATTGCTCCCCGAGCAACGGAATAAGCACGCCGCGCTCGAATTTTCTCCTCGCGCCAGCTTCATCCGGCACCACCGCCGGGGCAGCAGGCGCAGCGGGCTCTTTTCCGCCTTCCTCCTTCTGGTGGCCGAGAGCTTTCTTCCCAATTCTGAGGATCCGGCCCGAAAGCTCCGGGTCCTCGCCGTCGTAGCGAAGGATAATGTGGAAGCCGCCTTCGGCTAGGTAGGACCAGTCCGCGGGGTTGATCGGCAGAGCCGGGGCAGTGCCTGCAACAGCAGACATGACTGTTCCCCTTTGGTTTGAGTGCAGTCGGTGCTGTCGGTGTTTGTTGGCGTGCCCAACACGCAAGAGGGAGGCGTTTGTACTCGCTTCAAGTGGTGGGTGGGTGCAACACGAGCACGCGAAATCGAGAGGCACGCTAAATGAGACTCCTTGGTTATGTGTACTTTCTACGAATCTCGTCTGCGTGTCTTTCGCATGTTCAACCCCACAAAACATCTGACATAACAGACAGACAGAGCAGTAGTGCCATGAGCAAGACGGTCGCGATGCTGCTCGCGTCGGCAGGGAGCGGCATTGCCGCTGGGGCAACTGGCATGTACTTGTACTTGTGGGATCGCGGGTGAGTGGACAGAGTAGAGCATGTGAGCATGTCAACTTCGTGACCTGATGCGGGGCAACTATTATTGTACAGCAGCACACGTGACGGCTCCCATCGGCACACGAGCTGACTCCTTCGTTCAACCGGACACGCTCGGACTGCTGTAAACACATATGCCTGCAGGAAAGAAGGTCCAGCGCAAGAAGACGTCAAGCAGGATGATACGTTGGTGTCTACACCGAGAAGTCTACCTCTGCCGCAGCCGGTGAACGCCAATCATGATTACGATGCATATTCATACAACAACCTATTTAGTCTACTCGTTGTCTGCAATTGGTTGTTTGGGCGTGGGCGGATCATACAAGCATGTACTGCTCAGTGCCGTAAGGTTGGTTGCGAGTCATCGCACGGTCCGGATTCATCGCACCCCCGTGCTATAAAAATCAAATGACCACAGTTAATGATTTGATTCGATTTCCGCACAGGGTTCGGAGTCACCACACACAGGGGTGCGATGAATCGCACGCAATCTATGCATAAGGTAGTTTAGAGCCAGCGCTTTCGGGCCAACGTTCACCCCTGCAACCATGCCAGTGCTGGCATGCTGGCATGGTAGCTCTGCTGTAAGGCTATGTCATCGTCGTACACCATACGTGGAGGCATGAAGGAAACGAAGCACGTTTTTTGCAATGGATTGGAAAACTTGAACGATGTCGATTCAACGAAGCACGAGAAAGAAACCGCCTGACGTCAAGGTCGGGTGCTGGGTGTGGGCACACCTCGACGGCGGGAAATTATGTTTTCCGCCGCGGGTTTTATTTCCACCCAATAATTTGTGAGTATTTTTACTAGCATCGACCGCGCTAACACAACTGAGGTGTTCGTGCGTCTGCAAATATTATTTAGTATTGGCGAAAAACTTTTAAACACGACCGCACGGGGGTGCGATGACTCGCTACCTTACGGTAGTCCCTTGGGTCCTTGGTGCGGTCACAGCTGCTCAGTGCATGGGAAGCTCCTCTTGACCCTAGCTTACTCCTGTAAAGGTGCCCTTTGCTCTTCATTTCCTATCGCTTCTATTTTTAGTTTTGTCCCATCCCTGGCACGGCAAAGAGAATATCTGCGCCCTGCAAGCAGGGCAGTAGCGTACTGCTGTGCCTTCTTCGGAGTCCAACAAACCGCAGACCATCCTCCACGCCTGCTGCGCATGCCACAGGCGCAGGAGAACTACGGCACAGCACCAGCGTCAGCATTTATCATGCCCTTCGTGAAGCGCTATGGATATCCGGACCTGGATCAGGTACAAAATGGGTTCAGCGTTGGCTGCCACAATCCACTTCCCTCAAGGAACACTTCGCCTATGTCTGTTTGTTATTAGCGTCGAAGGTGCTAACCGTCAGTTTCAAGTCTTCTCAAAAACGGAAAACTCGTTTACATAACGGCCATTTTGTGGGACCCCTTGATGGGCAGCTAGGCTATTCTCCGGATTGAAGAGAGAAACGGTAGCAGCTACAATGCACGTGTCTACAAAGGTTTGTTATTCTACTGGTGTTATGTTTGGCTCCCTTCGCGTCGTGTTACTGCTTCCATCATCCTGCTCGCATTCACCGCTCTCTTCGCGAATGTTTCGACCACTACCTTTAGGCGATGTGTTATTTTTTATTTTTTTTTACCACATTCATTTGTCACAAAGGGGGTTTGTCTTTTCATTTACCCTTGCGCGTTTTCTGCCAGCACTGTCTCAAGACACAAAGATGACTAAGTCGAAATATTCAGCCGCACGCGAACCGTTTTGCCAGGTCATCCTACCGTCCGAAGAGTATACGTCTTGCTGGGATAGCCGCACGCGCAATGCTCGGTGGGTCGTGGAGCGCATCAACCTCAACACCGTGTCCGGCCCGGGAGACAGAAAAAAGGTACAGTGTCCCTTGATCGAAGGCTACAAGCTTAGGTTATCGTCCTCCTCGTCGTCGTTGTTGCAATTTTTGGTGACGGTGCTGTCCGCGTTGTTTTTTCCGCGGTTGAATTTTCTGGAGTGTTTTCTCTTTCAGCAAGCCCGAATCCCAGGAAATGTTGAAGTCAAGACGGTAGGATGATGCCTGGCATGCGGTTTCTGCCTGTTGGCAACGCTTCAGCGTAGTGCGGATGATGACACCCTGCTGAAGGACCTTGAAATAAACGTGCTGGTTGGCCTCTCAATGTTATGTTCCTTGACTTGGAGTATGGCGTGCAATCCTCTTTCCAGAGCGTGTCAACAATTCGTTCCTTGTGGGGGAGGGCGCGCACAGTGCAGGATGGATTGCAATAGAGTGCAGCACCTGCTGTGCGGCACCGGCCTTGGTCCTGCGTAGTCCCGCGAGCGTCGTACCCTCTCGTTGCTGCACCACCACGTCGTCTTCTGAACGTCTTTGACCTGCAACCAACGTGCCCTCATGTTTCTTTCTGGGGGATTCTCCGATCACGTCTTTTCCTCCGTTCAGTCTCCCTTCCGGCCGGACTCAAGGTTGCAGCCTCTATTCCGGAGTAGCCTGTCGGACTTCTACGGGAGCGGCTACGATCGGGGGCACCTCGCACCGGCCGGCAACCACAAGACAACTCAGGCCAACCTCACGCAAACCTTTCTGCTCTCAAACATGGCGCCCCAGGTGATGCTCCTAGTGCTTCCGGTGATTGTTCACGTATGTGTCCCGATCTGACCTTGCGGCGAGAATTTCGGTACAGCCACAACCAATCCTTCATGTGTGTGCCCCGGTCTGACCTGCGGTGAGAATATCAGCTGCAAAGCTACTCCCGGAGAATCGGAGTGAAGCCGTGCCTCAGTTGATCTTTCTCGTTTTTGTCCCGGCGAGAATATCGTTACAGCAGCCGCAACCAACTCCTGGAAGCTCGGCGCCGTCGTGCTCGTGGCTCACAGGCAGCTTCACCTGAAGAGCTCTTGCCTTTGAGATGCTACACGCCATTTTTAGATACCATTGCAAGAATAGGCGGACGGCTGATCGTGTGATTATCCCTCGTCCTCATGCACGTGGTATTGGTGTAAAACTCGTGTCGAGATCAATCACAAGTACCCGTGTGTAGAACAGCAAACTAGGCGGTGGTTTGAAGAAGCAGCGACGTTTGTTTGCGGGGCAGACCTTTTTGTCGCAGACAACTGACTTTTCTCGACAAGGTGTTTGCGCAGAGAACGACGGTATCTGCTTGGTGCCTTTGAGCAGTTCCGTCGTCGTATTTTCAGCGAAACCAAGCTCACGACACAGAGTACAACAACTAGAGAGCTGTGGAAAATGGGCGAAATTTCATTACTGACCAGTCTGCCGGCTTTCCGAGACCATGTCCTTTCCTACACGAGCCAATTGGCCTCACCCTCCCGAATTCCCCCCAAGGCTGACTGCTGCACAATTCCATATTCACCCCGCCCATCCCACCCCGCTCCAATGACGAACCCGTCGTCGCCTTGCACCCCTCTGACCAGCCAGCGAGGGCCAGAGTTTGGCTTTCGTTAATAACTTGGTCGGTCTTTTTGGGCCGTCCGTTTTTCTTGGCCCGCTTCGTGCAGATGCCAAGTTTCAACCGCGGGTACTGGGGTGACTTCGAGGAGTTCGTGCGTACCCTCGTCGTGCCGTCTGAGAGGTCCATCAAAGCGGCGGCGGCGGCGGGGTTCTCGACGTCCTCGTCGCTGTCGCCGCCGTTCAAGGACGTATACGTCATCACCGGGCCTCTCTTCCTCCCGTCAAAGGAGACGTCATCGACAGCCGGCAAAAGCAACGGTGAGACGGCGATCCCGCGGGAGTATTGTAGCCTCTACGTGCTGATTTTTCCAGAGGCGAAGCTTGTCTGTGCGTTCCATACATGTGTTGTTCTTTCATTTTACTATTGAAGTCGAACAGTTCAGTGACCCGTGTTACCGTACCGCGGTACCGCAAGGTGGGGTGGTAGGTAACTGGAAATTTCGCGGTGACTACAGTGTATGGGGCTAGCCAAAATCCGACGACATCAACCGTGGTCGGTCGTACTGCGGTTCTCCGCGGCAATGCATCTAATGAAACTCCCCCCCGAGGCGTTTTAGTAGGCCCCCGGAGGCGAATGCCGGTAACATTTTTACACATCCTGTCTGTGAACGCCCCGACATTTTGGTGCTAGGGTACCGCTGCTTCCGAATGTGTTTCGCCTGTTCGTTCGTGCTAACGTGTGTTAAACCTGGTTGGTTTTCTTCCTGTCTTCGGCGGCCTTGACGCAGCGGTCGACATCGACCAAGGACACGCCGAGAGGACGGCGATGGATGTGCCATCGCAATCCCCCAGTACACCCGCAGCTACGAAGTGGGTCGTCAAGCACGACATCTTAGGGAACCCTATGCAAATGGTGGCGGTGCCTACTCACTTCTTCAAGGTGGTTATGCCAGCATGCCTTATGAGGAACCGGACCCACCACGCCTAATCCTACCCCTTTATTGGACATGCGCACGCACGCGGGTGGTGTGGTGCATGGGTCAAGGCCAACTGTGTTGTGCGCTTGCGTCGAATGGGGGTACAGTACCCCATAGACTTAACAAAGAAATGAGCCTCGTCCAATAAAAAAAGTTTTTTAGTGCCGTCGCGTTCTGTACACGGGTACTGCTGAGCGCCATACACACACACGGCACATGGATCGTTCCTACTCTCCCGCCTCAACCCTTGTCAAGGCTCCATATCAACTGCACTCCTCAACCTTGGCTTCTGTCAGTTTTTCTCGGCCCACCGGGCGAGATACTCGTTCACGTTTCACCGGTCACCGTCGTCGCACGGCTGGCTCCTTCTCTTCGCAGATAATCGTGGCGGAACCATATCCCCCGCCTCCCTCAGAAGCGCTTGTCTCCAAGCCGACAACGTTTGTGGCCGCCTTCGCCATGCCCAACGCCGACATCCCGAACAACACGGACCTCCGGAATTTTCTTGTGCCCCTGGGGGCGCTTTCGTCGGTCTCTGGCATGAGGTTCTTTGGCACGGGCTTGCTGGACGAAACCGCCAAGCTCTCCCTCGACAAAGAGGCCATTCAGGTGCGAGAGAGGGCAGGGGTCCCCGCGCTTTCGGGCGATTGGGGAACCGGGATAGAGAAGACGAACCGGAGGAAAAAAGGGAAAGATGACCACAGCTTGCCGATAGCGGACAGGCCGCGGGTTTTCCGGCACCTTTGCACCACTACGTCTTGCCGTGGGCTTTAGTGTTTTGGAAACGCCGACAATGGAGATGCAGCGATGAATCATATACTGCTGTCTTGCTTTTGCTTTTTTCCAAGTGGGGGCTGGGGCGAACGTTCGACACGGTTTGGTATTGGTATCCGCTATTTGGTCATGTCGCGTTCGCGTTGCTAGCTCGTATCGGCGCTGCGCGCGGAGGGTTATTCTTGCGTGCAGTCACCTGGTCTTCCAAGTGAATTTTCTTCGTCGTCGTGTTGGTAGCGGCGGCGCTCCGATGTATCGGCGGTAGCCGGGCGTAGCTGGTTGTTCATGCCCTTGAAGGGCTTGCGTGGACGTCATGACTCGACCGCTCGCCGGCGTTTTCGTGCCCCTTTAGAGTACCGGGACAGTTAAAAATGTTATTTACAGCGTGTCTGTGTTGGGGGTGTGTATCAGTACTCTACAGCTCCTGCTAGAACGTGCTCGTTGCCCATGTCGTGAGGCAACAAAAGGTCTCGGTGTAAGGAGCGTTTGCTTTTGTCCTTGATGTGTGATTTTGGTCTGCAGCAAATCCGGGTTCTTTCCCACCTTCCAACCTGCCGTAAGACGTATGGGCGAAATTTGGTTTGACATTCGTGCGCGATGGCTACTTTTTTGAGAATCAAAGAGAATCGACACGGTCCACTGCCATGGATTGTGGGGGCCACATTCTTGGTTGATTGGATAGGTATCGTCTGTGCCTTGGTAGCAGAAGATGAGCATCCTTATCAGATTTTAAATTTAGCGAGAAGAGAGAAATTGGGGGCTTGCTCAAGCAAAGGTGGAGGCTTGCCTGTCTAGAGCTAGCGGAAATGTTCGGTCATGATAATGAAGTGCCACGAACATCACCTGGTGGAGCTCGTAGTAAGTCTCTCCGTGATTCGGGAGTTCACATGCGGCGTTTTGATATCAAACAAGCGTGTGCATATCGGGCAGATTTAGCACCGAGTGGTGGCACACATGCACACCCTCTCAAACAACTGAAGATGTGGATTGGAGTCGTGGGATCAACACCCGTTTTTGGACAAGGCGCAACTTTGGAAACGTTACACAGGTGCCTCAGACCAGGCGAATCCACATCGACAAGAAACAAACGAAGTCTTCATATCAGTTCATGTTGTCAGGTCACAACGATCACAGGAAAAACTGGCATCAAAAACATAATACCAGTCGTGCCACAAGTCGGGGAGCATCCAGCGTGCACAGAAAAACGTGTGATATAACAATTCTGGGCCAAATAACCATCGACATCAGCATTCGTCATGTGCGTTTGTTGCTCCCCAAAGAGTGTAGGGAGAGTAATCCTATCGGTCCCGCGACAAGGCGTCCGGTTCTTTCCTTTTGTACCACCAGAGCGCGTCCCGGAATCCTGGCCACGTGGGTATCTCCACGCGTCTCACGATCTCCCACTCCTCCCTCAACACCCGCCAAGGCATGCGTGTCGCGCCACCCTCTCCCTCCCCCACGTAAAAGAAGTCGTTCCCTGCAAACTCCTGCAGGCAGCCGGCCGGCCACTGCCCGTCGCTCGGCCAGCAAATGAGCAGCGACCAGTTCCGGAACCCGTCCTCGCGGGCAATTCGGTCGAACGACCCGCGCTCCGCCGGGGAGAAGGGTTCTCGCCCCTCCCCAAACCAGTCGTCGACCTCTTCTTCTGGCATACTGATTGGTTCCGGTGAGGGAGCGTTGTCGATCGAGCGGGGTGGTGCTTCTTCGACCGAATAACCACTTTCGTCCTCGGTGGTGGAGACTTCTGACACGGCGTCGGCGACGGGACGTATATGTGGAGGGTTAACATTTTTGAAATTTATTGAAGAAACCGTCTGTTGGTGAAGGAACGAGCACCACCTAACGGCACGAGAAAAACTGTTGCGCTTCATCTCAGGGTGTGTCTTATCGGAAAAATCGGAGTTAAAAATCAGAATCGATTTTCAGTTAAAGACTAGAAAGAGCCAGCGTCCATCTGCTCTGATTGGTTGGAATGTGTTCTCTCGGGATAAGCGAACGGATCTTCCTATTCTTAAACTCGATCTCGAAAAAAGGGCCAGAGGATTAATTTGGAGTCGACTTTTGTCAAACGCCACCAACTTCGGGTGGACGTTGGGCTGTTGGGAGCGTGCTGCGGCGGTTGACGTTTTTCTCGCACGCTGCGCGCCCACGTGCGCGCGGATTGCACACGCTACACCACCCACGCCCACCAAGCAAGCAGAAAGATGATGTCACAGAAGGCGAACGGCAACGGTAGGTTCAACTTGTTGACGATTTGTTACGGGCGTGCGCCGAGCCATGGAGTCGGGATTCATGTGCCACCCGTGCCATCGGTGGGTTTGGGTACATCACCAGCTCCAGGAGCTGCCTCATACGCTTCTTCATTTTCCCTCGCTGCCAAGAGCGGCTGCCCGCACGGCGGGGAGGAGAGCGAGCCATGATTGTGCGAGTGCTGTGCAAAAGGACAAACCGTCGCCCGCAGGTCGCTCACGCGGCTTATCGGGACTGTTGGGCTGTTCGGCGTCCGTTCGGGCGTGTTCTCGATTTGAACCTCAGTTTTGCTGATTTTTCGATAAGACACGTAGGTCGAATTTGGCTGGCTCTTTCTAGACTTAAAACTGAAGCTCGGTTCTGATTTTTAGTTTCGATTCTGCCGAGAAGACACACCCTAACGAGGGCTGCGCGGGGAAGGCGAAACACACTACAATATCATTGCAGAAAAGCAAGACTGATGGAGCAGCTGAAGCAGTTCATGTGACGTCCCCTACATTAGCTGCCCGGGGAAAAGCGCTTTGCTGTTCAAAACGATGGCGTGGCCATCCGAGGAACGCCATTGTGCGCGCTCCCGACAAGAAGTATCAAATCAACACTACCCCTACCTCCGAAACTCGTAAGCGGCCAAAGAATCAAACATCACTGAGAATCCGAGGGGAACGCGAGCGGTTCGCTCTAAGCTTCCAGCTGTGTTCTGCCAAAATCTGGAAAAAAAAAAGTGCCGCCTGTGGCAGCGCGCAAGGCATGTTACCGGTACGTTGACGGGCTGGTGGGGCGAACGGGTCGAAGCAGCGCACGCGAGAGTCATCTCCGCTTCGCAGCTTCAAGAGGTAGGCCCAGTAGCCCAGGCCGCTTCCGACCTCTAGGACCCGCTTTCTAGGCTCCAGGATGCAGTCCAGAGCTCTATTAGCAAGGGCGTTCCAGCAAAGCAGGCAAAGACAAATGGCGTAGAAGTGGTTCAAGGTTGTTTCATTCCTACGGTTGCCGAGGGACTACAGCAGAACTCTACCTAATGTCAGTATCTGCTCTACAATCATGAATCGGCCGAATACACATAAGGGGGGTAATACAGAAGTCCCGTCCCAAACGGCCGTCGCAATTAGAATCCGGGGCCCACCTTCGTTCGAACGGCTATCTCGCTCACAACAGAGGTTTGGCATCGGGACAAGGATCACCCTCAAGAGACTCTCGCGAGCCAAAACCGTTAAGGGAAAACCTTGCTCCCCGTGTTTAAGGTGCCCCTCGCACAAAGAGACGGAATTGGTGGTTCAAGGGATAGCACTAGGAGGGGCGAACTTGCGCCGAAAAGACGAAAAAAAAACGACGCATCCTCGTGTGTACCAATAAACTTGGCCAAAACTCACGTCCATAGTTCGTCCACAAAAAACGGGAGGTGTTGCCGGGGGGAAGCTTGCACGCTGGCTTTTCATGCGCGCGATACCCCACCCTAACCCGAACTCTTACCCACGCCCAAACAAACAACACCGAGACTGATCGTCAAAACGCTACTCCTACTTCAAACTTACTCACCCCTCGTCAGGGATACCCCAAGAGAAAAACCGCTGGGCCTGCCTACGGGTTTCGAAGACCGAAAGTCGGTAGCTCGCCACCCACTGTCGCGACACCCGATCCCCGCTCCACCCGCCTTCGGAAGGCATGCCGTCCCTCGCCTCCTCGATGTATCGTTCGCTTTCTCGCCGTACAAAGCCGTCGTCGCTCTCGAAAAGAGCATTTACGTCTGCCCAAGTTGGCGCGGCCAGACCAGGAGAGAGGTCAAGGTCGGTAAATTTCCCTTTGTTGCCGGTGTTGGATGCGGGTGCTTCCTTTGGCGGGGTGCTCTGCGGCATAGTTGGTTCGCGAGAAGGAGTAGAGGACCCGAGTCAGTTAGGCAGTCAACCAGGGTTTGTGGACAATACAGGTAATCAACACCCCAATCACCACCACCAATACCACCAACAGCAGCACCCTACCCAACCTATGCACCTGCAACCGCTGCCAGTAGCGCGAAGCCGCGAGCCTCCTCTGGTCAAGATCGTGTACAATGTCCACCCGGTCCATCAACGCCTTCGTGGCCTCCCCCCACAAACGGAACCCTGCCTTCTCTCCTTTCGCTTCTTCGGGTGACGACTCGTGGTCATCACAGTCTTGCGTAGCGGCACGCATCACAGCAGCAGTGGCAGAGGCAACTTCACCTTACTCGCCGGGGGGGAATGTGTGAAACACAACCGACTCCTTGTTGTCCGAGACACTGGTAGCCCTACATCCTTCTAGAATGTAGCCCATGGTCTTGCCTGAGCCTCGCTTTCGTAGGCATGTCATAATTCGGCAAGTGCCCGAGGGCCAGCGGGAGACGTCAAGGGGGCGACTACCGCTGGTACAGCAAGCTCGGGACAAGCATTTGACTCTCTGGCCTCAGCTGCTTGATTGGTGTATGTGTAGGAGGGTCGACTACATACCGTATGTGGTTAACGTGCTTGATTGAGGGGTCCGCTAAAAGGCGCTGGGACTTCAACGTTTCCGATACCACCACCTTCACGAAGAGTAAGGACGGGGGGTGTCGCTTTTTGGCGTTAAATCACGTGAATTATGTCAAACGGCATCGGGGATCGCTAGGAGAAAACACGCATAGATGGTGAGTGTACAGGGCAAAACAATATCCATACGGTCATGTCGATCTGCACAGGGAACATCAACATCGTCAGTATCAGCGCCACTGGCCGGAAATACTTGAAGGAGATCGCAACACAGCACAAAAAAACGAAAATCAAGAAGAGGTCAATGTTTTAAACGAAGGGGGGTATTGTCACATCGCACCTGTGTAACCCATGTCTTGGAACTGCTGCAGGCAGGCTGTATCGTTTTGTGTCAAGGCCCACCCAGCCAGGTACTCGTTGGGCACCGGGCGGCGGGGATTGTCAAGCTGCCAAAGCAACGCGGACGCGAACAGGATTGGGGGTGAAAGCTTTAAGAGCTTGGAGGTATGGGTCCTTTGATTCAAGGGTGAACATATGTCGCGGTTGAGAACTCTCCGTGCGTTGTCTTTCACGACCATCAACTCGAGAATCTGCTGTTTGGAACGTTGTGGAAGGGTGTAGACTAGACTACAATAGTCCAGACAAGACCTCAAACAGGAGGGAAAAACGGTAACATTGGGCCTATTTTGGGCCTATTGCGTGGCAAAAGCCACATAGCGCCGATCATCTATTTCTTGCACTACGGAAAGATGACACTCAAATGCGAAATACTTATTCAACGGTCTCTTCGTTCGTGTGTTACTACACAAGTATATCATCGTGGCGTGCCGCGATTCGAACGGAGAGAGACCGAACCGCCTGCTACTGGCATATCGGCAAGCAGGACAATAACCCACCCGCCTTCCGTAGTCTGCTCCTGCATCAGCTGCTGCTGCTGAAGGCCTCAGTCTCCATCGGGCCGACCCTTTCCTGCGCACGCCGCTACTGCTGTGTCCAATCGAGTCGTCTTGCCACCGCAATCGGCTGCTCCCCGCAAACGAGCAGAGGGGCAGCGTGGAAATATGCCGTATCAACTGCACGTGCCACGACGGTGGTCCCACCAACGCTGCTGAGGGATTCATCGCGGATTCCACCATTACCTTGACTCCTCCTTATCTTGTCTTTCAAGCATCAAGCAGCAAGACCTCTTGTTTCTTGCGTAACACCCGCCTGCCCGTCTGGGTCGTCTCACGGACAGTCCCGCCGCGAAAAACGCCGTCGTTCATTTTTTGTTCTCTGCTGTAGAGTAAGTTTAAGGACCTCCTAGTTGTTGTTGTTGTTGTTGTTGTTGTCTTCACATTAAACCGTATGTCAGTTGTTCGCACACATATAACGAGCAAAAGGTATCCAAGAGACCGAAGAGGTACACCTAAAAATCCCTGCAGCACCGTAGGCGTGCCCAAAAACTGAACTGCACGTCCGTCCCACCGTTCGACTGCAGTAGCATCACCCCCTCCCTGTCCCAAAACCAAGGGGGCTCACGGAGAGCACACAGGGATGCACTGCTACCCCCCCCCCCCCCCCCCCCCCCCCCCCCCCCCCCCCCCCCCCCCCCCCCCNTCGCACACATATAACGAGCAAAAGGTATCCAAGAGACCGAAGAGGTACACCTAAAAATCCCTGCAGCACCGTAGGCGTGCCCAAAAACTGAACTGCACGTCCGTCCCACCGTTCGACTGCAGTAGCATCACCCCCTCCCTGTCCCAAAACCAAGGGGGCTCACGGAGAGCACACAGGGATGCACTGCTACCCCCCCCCCCCCCCCCCCCCCCCCCCCCCCCCCCCCCCCCCCCCCCCCCCCCCCC